GCAGAAGAGTTGCTCTGAGTCCTCGAGATACATGAAGGCTGCTGTCACTAGTGTTTGGTAGCATTACAGCATTGACAGTGTAACATTTCATTAAACCTTTCTTTCATAGTTTCTGGAGTTATTTTCCAGATTTGTTTCAATAGACAAGAACAGCCATTACTGTTAGATTGCTAAAGAAAGCAAAATTCCTGGAACAAGACCATAAAAGACTGGGCTTTATCCTTATTGAAGCACTGAGGGTTTTGCTATATTTATCTTGAGTGTTCAGAGCATAAAATGTGAACATCCCTTTCTAAAATGGTCAACATGAGGGTAATACAAAGTCCAAATCTTGATGTTTTCTTTTTATTCTTCTGGTTACTCTCTGAAGTTCAGTAGACTCTTCTACTTTCATTGTAAGTTCTTAAATGGAGGTGTGATTTTATAATTGTATTGGGATCTTTGGTTTTTGTTTTATCTAATAGGCTGTATTGGCCGCTTCTGCCCACTGGGTTCAAACACTTGGCCAACTGTCTAGTTAACTTGCACCTATTCCACCACTGCAGGGGGAGGTTGGGTTCCCACAGTTAGGAAATTGTGCTCTGGTTTGTCTCAAGAGAGAGCATGCAGGTCCTGTTAAGGGAAAATCTTTTTCTTCTGACAAGCTCTCTGCCTCACATAGCCATTCTGCTCTGTTGGGTGGATGTGGACCCTTAAGAAGCATCTAATTATAATACCAAACAATTTACCTGTTGCCCCTGAAGGTGTTCTCTAAGATTTGATGTTCTCAAAAGAATTCTAGGTTTTCTTAAGAGGGGGAGAGGTCCTTTCTTGCTGTGGAGCATGCCTTTCCTGTCCCTTAACCTGCATCTGATCATCTCAGTTGTAGTTTCTATGTGTAAATGCAGCCAGGCTTCTTTCTTTTGCTAGCACTGAGCATTCTGGGAGGATCTTTTCTTTCCTTTTTGAGGCTTATCAGATTTGCCTTTCCCTGTACCATTTTACTTGGCTCTACATCCTTAAGCGTGTGCAACCATAAGGTGTAGAACATCATTATGGTTTTAGAATTTAAGTTTGTTTTGAAAACACTGTGTTTTCGGATCTTGATTTGCTCAGGTTTGTAATATCTCCCCTAGGCTATATAACTCCCTATTTTGAGTTCCTATAAAAACACAGGTAAATAAGATGATTTTGTTTATTTCTTAACAAAATCTTAAAGAGAAACTTATATACAGTCTGGAAATCCTAGTGCTTGGGACATTTGTGATAGAAGTCTGCCCAGTATTTACAGTGTTTGGAAAGTCCTGGCAGATATGTAAATTTCACCAGCTGCAAGGTGAAATAAAACACTGAGTTTCTTGGCTGGGACGAGAGTCTGTCAATCAGTGTGATAACAGTGGTTCTCATGTTGATCAAAAAAGTCTTATTCATAATTAAATATTTATTTGGCAGATAAATATTTGAAAAATGAATTCCACTTGATGAATGCTATTTGGTAGATTGAAATCTTTAAAAAAAAAAAAAAAGGACTCTGGGAGGAGACATCTGCAGTGGCAAATAGGTCTGTAAAACTGTTACCTGTGGGGATTGGCAGCCTGAGGGACTGATGCTGAGTATAGGTGGACTGCTGTGGTTCTACTGGGCTCCTTGATAGGATATAGCTTAGGTTATGAGCAGCAGGATTTATGAGGAATTTTGAACTATTCTCAGTTAATTTTATTTTATTTTTATTTTGAAAAATTATTACTGCTAGTTAGTGGCAGATTCTCACTGTGTTGACCAGGCTGATCAGTTCATTTTAAAGTAGGCTGTAAAATGTCCAGTTTTTATAGTTACATGTTGTATTTTTGAAGTGATAGGCATAGAACCAGATTGTTGACTGTTGGTTAGGAGGAGTATCAGAGAAGCAGGCGTGAGACATTGTCAAAATGTTAAACACGGCAGTTTAAAGAGCCAGTGTGGGTTTTAAGTGATTTTTACTTGGGTATAAGTGTTCTGGGTACAGAATCTGAGCTGAGAAATCTCCAGGCTGGGAGGGGTGGCACTTCGACATAATTGGACTCTGTAGGTGGTAGGAAGAGCTGCTCTAGGCAAATCACCCTGGCTTGGACATCATAGTGCTCCAGATAAAATGAGGGGGATGAAAAGTATCTCTTGAAGGTTGTTTTGGTCTCTTTCCTGGTTTGAGTCTAATTGTCTGGAATGTATGTGACTTTTTAAGTTACTTAAAGCAAAACAACCTCAGTTTCATTCTTTTGCAATTCGGTCTCCTCTTAAATGTTTTTCAGTATGTACAATAGTTACCCTATCAACACAGAATCCTAAATTTTGAAGAAGCTAAAGGATTTTCAGTCGATATCAGGTATCGTCTCTTAATACTTGAGATTCATACGAGTGGTTTATCGTGACTGGCAAAATGGCTGTGTTCCACCCTTCAGCCAAGGAAGAAGTAGCAGATGGTGCATGAAGGAAAAATATTTTGGGTATCTTGAGACATGTAGCAATACCCACGAAGTCACTTTGGGTTTCTGGAGAACAAATGAGGGAACGACAAAGATAAGGATCCCCTAGACAGTAGTTAAGAAACCAGACGGTTGCTGTTGGCTGCCAGTGCAGCTCATTAGGCTGGAACTGTTTGCTTATATCTAGAACAACCACCAGAGCAGTGTCAGGACTAGAAAGTCGGCCAGTCACCCACAGAACTGGGTTGCAGGAAACAAAGGTTCAAGGACGTGGTGTGTTTTTGGTGGGGTGGTGCTGCACAGCAGTGGGAGCCCGGGATGCCCTGGATCTCACCCCCATGACTTTTCAGCCCCCACCCCTTTGCTGCCCTGTTTTGAGTGGGTCTTACAGCATCAAAGGTATGAAGAGACATCTTGTTTCGCAACTTGTTGAAGTCTGCCTGTTGAATGGGGCCAATTTTCAGATAAAGCAGGGATGCTAATTACCAGCCCAGTCCAAATTTAGAGGAACTTCAGAGCTTTTCAAAACCCATTCAGATTATAGACTTCATTTAAGCTGCTCGTGCGGAAGTTACAGTAATGACTTCTAACTTGTAGAAGCAGAGGCCTGAGAGCCTTAAAGGGCCAGCTGTAGAGATGTTTCTAACACTGTGTAGCTCCTAACAGAGGTACACTTTACTTTTGACGTTCCCAATTCCACTAACATGATTTTTAAAATAAGACGTTAAGAAACCATTTTGGAATGGTGAGTGGTTTGGATGCCTGGTGCTAATCACACAGGAGGGCTGTAAAGATAGCCTCGTGGAAAGAGACTTTGAAATTGCAGCGGACCTGGATTCTTTGACATGTTTCGCTGGGTACCTGTGCAGATGGGAAGTAGAGTGAGATATGTGCCTTTCCCTTGCTGCATTTGCAGAGCCGGAGGAGACTTTGGGGCTGAAATGATTTAGAACAGAGGCAGGTGTATTTAAGCACTTCCTGGAGTTGTGTTAATTCTACCGCATCCTTTGTCAGGCTGAGGGACTGGGTTGAAGAGGTTAGTTTTTAGCAGACATTTATGAAGGTAATTAGTTCAGGGATGCAGCCATCTCACCTTTCAGCCCCAGCCCCTGTGGTAAAGCCATTACTTTGAGCTTCTCCATATTGAATTGCCTAGTTCCCTCTACCTCCTTTTATCTGATCCTCCTGGCATTTGTGTAGCTTCAACAGTCAGGAATAAAAGAGCTCAGCTCACTTTAGAATCAGCCCCTGAAGTGGGCCACGAGGCTTCGTGTTGCCTTCTGGTCCTCCGTTTTGATTTCCTCCTGTGTGAGGTTGAGCTGGGAGCACTCCCATGGTGGGGTCCAGGTTTTTCCCAGGGGAGATTTGAGAGCCAGCCACCTGGCTGATTGATTACCTCTGTCTGGTGGGGATCAAAAACTCATGGCCTTAAAAAATGGACCATAAGATTTTTTGCTGCTGGTATATATTGTCACCTCCGATGTGGTCTAACCTGAAGATTTCCCCTGCCCTTTTTTATTTTAAATTGTGACACAGGAAGGTAGCATAATTGTCTGTTGGCCTGGACACCTGCTTTTAGTTCTCAAACATCTTTCAGAAATTGGGGTTATCTGGGCTTTGTGAAGGGAGGTTTTTGCACAGCTCATTCACAGTCGTTCAGGGCAGTAACACATCACTGAACAAATTGCCTCCTTGCATATGCTAATCCTGCACTTAAAAGAACTCATTGTAACATGTTCTCATGCCTTAGCCTGAGGGGAGATGGGAATTGAAAGGATGTCAGATCATGTCATGTGACCCCAAAATATCTCAAATGCCTGTTTTCTTTGGGTCAACTGTTCGCACTCAGCATATGCCAATGAAAGTATCCTGTGTGGCTGGTGGAAGAGATTAGTCCTTGTTCCTGCTTTGTGTGTGGGAGCTGGTCTTGCTATTGAAGCGTCACAGGCTGAGATTTCTTCCCCTGTGGGACTTAAGTTTCAGTGCTTCTGGCGAGCAACACCAAATCTTATTTTCAACAATAAATTAAAAGAATTCAAAAGTTCCTTTATCGTTGCCATGGAAAATGTGATTTGCCTTTTAGGAAACCATGCTGTTAATCCCACCTGTTTCTTTTGTGTCTGTTTAGAGTGGTACACAGTGACTCTTAAGAGTTATGGAATATGCCTAGTGGCGCAATCTCAAGATTTGCTTATCAGTCCTTCATATTCTTGACAGAGTAAACACACATCCACTCACAAACAGCAAGCTCCCAATTTCTCCAACACCAGATAGAACAGGAGCACATTTAGAGTGAGCAGAGCCTGAAGGATTCACCAGGATTTGTAAGGTTTGATACCAAAGGCAGGGTCCTTTTAAGTGGGGAAAGCTCTTTAAATGTTTGCCATCAAAGTCTTCAGACAGATGACTTAAATGGAATAAAAGGTTGTATAGGTATCACCTTTCTAAAACAGTTCCCACTTCCAGGTAGGGTTTTCATGTGTATAAAGAGACCGGCAAAGAAGCCTTTGAGAGAAAGATATATATACATTTTTTTTTTTTTTTTTTTTTGTCTTATAGAGTAATTCCCTTTTGGTCCCAGACAGTCTAAGAGGTACAGATAAACGCAGAAATGGGCCTGAATTTTCCAACGACATCAAAAAACGGAAGGTGGATGATAAGGATTCTAGCCACTATGTAAGTAAATAAAGGACTTTGAATACTATTTGTTTGCTTACTACCTACTTTCTACGTGAATGTCTAAGTGTAATCTAGAATTTCCATTATAATTCCACATCCCTTAAGGTAAGGGTAAGTTCAGAGCTGGGCATGGTAGTACATGCCTATATCTGAGCCTCCTGGGAGACTGAAGGATCAAAAGTTTGTGATCAGCCTGGGCAACTTAATGAAACCCTGTCTCAAATTAAAAGACAAAGAAAAAAAGGCTGGGAATGTATATAGCTCAGTGGTGTTAAGGCTTACCTTGAGTGTGCCAGGCCCGGGGTTCTGTCGCCTGCATACACACAAAAGAAAACATTAAAAAGAGGTAAACTCTTATATTGTAGAATATTCTTTTCCTTTAGGGCTGCAAATTATGCTTCTTTTGGACTTAATTTTACATTTTAAACTGTCTTAGTTATTCTTCACTTAATCTTAGCCAGAAGTTCAAGAAGTGATCTGCCAGAAGGACTTTGAAAATTTAGGTGTGGCTTTGTGGACCATATGGCTGCACTGGGCCCTGCTTCTAGAAAGGTCTCATCCTACCATCATTGAAATCTCAGTTTTTGAATGAGGGCTTTGCATTTTCATTTTGTCTTGGACCTTGCAAATTTGGTAGCCACTTATGCACAAATAGAGTAAAAAATTTTAAGCCAGGCGAAGTGGTGCACACCTGTAACTGCAGGGGCTCAGGAGCCTGAGGTAGGAGGATTGCAAGTTCAAAGCCAGCCTCAGCAATTTAATTAGAACCTGTCTCAAAATAATAAAAAATTTAAAAAGGCTGGGGTTGTGCCTCAGTGGTTAGCCCCTGAGTTCAATCCCTGGTACCAAAAAAAGAAAAAAAAAAATGGCAGCACAGAATATTTTTCAAGATGCTCTTCAGCTAAAATATCCAGGCTTATGTTAGGTTTAAGGTAGAGTTTATGGTCTTCTGCAGTGGGTGATCTTAGTCCGTGGTAAAAACAGATGAAACATCAGAGGATCTAGTTCACACCCTGCAGATGAGATCGCTCACCTGGTTGACGGACGAGAATTCAACATAGATCCATAGAAGTCACATTCAGAGGAGAGCAAGTCAGGCCAAGTGGCCATTGGCTCTGGCCCTGGAATCATAAACATTATTGCCATGATTTAGCTTGGACTTGCCCTGCATGTCTCCACCAGTGAGTTCTCAGGAACAATATGAGAGTAGGATCCTGAATTGGGCCACTTCTTGTCATCCCTGGTGGAAGAAGTGTCTACTGGGCAGACTGTGGAAGTTTAAACACTGACCTCGACCTTCTGAGGCTTGCTCATGCCAATAGCTAGCAACAGGTAACATTTCTTGAGCGCCAGTTCAAACTAGTTCCAGCTGCCCTGTGTTTTTATATGGGTTATTTCACTGGATTCTTACTGTAACCCATTGAGTTAGCTACCGTCATCTCCATTTCGTACATAAAGAAACTGTGGCCTGGACCTTCAAAGTGGTTTGCCAGAGGTCCTGGCTAGTGGCAGAGCCTAGAGGCAGTCTGACTCAACCAAAATTTGTGCTCTTAATCAAAATTCCTACATCTAGTCCCACACAGGATTGGTATTTTTCCACAGTTCCTCAAATCAGTCCTTTTTGTACTATGGTGTAATAATATCCTAAGAACCAGAGTCATTGGTTCTCCCTGCCCCAGCCCAAGCTTTTTAATACATACCTTCTCCCCTTATCTGCTGCCCAGTGCTGATGTCCCATGTGTGCATTTCCCTTTGAAAAACTAATTTCAGAGTTCCATTAGAGAGGGCAGGAAGGCTCAGGAATAGAGGGAGGTAGGACAACAGGTCCTAAAATATCCTAATTTGATCATTACACAGTGTATACATGTATTGAATTACTACGCATGTATCCCATGTAAACATGTATAATTATGTGTCAATTAGAAAAATAAATTTTTTCTTTAATGTTAAAAAGAGTAATATTTTAAGAATTTGTTTGCTACTTTTTAACCAGTTTAACCTATATACTGCACAGTTATTTTTATAATTTTTTTTTTTTTCTAAAAGGGAAACCCTTTTATTTTGTATTCTTTTGCCACACACTTAACACCATAGAACATTTGTGGCTCTCTGTGGGCTTTCCTGCGAGAAAACAAATTTTCTTTATTATTAGTTTTTCTCTCTTCTTTATGAAAACATTTTTTTGAATAGACTGTTATTTTGTATTACCCCGGCTTCCTCATTGGTTGTAATTTTATGTTGTTACTGGTGAATTGCATGGTGCCTTCATAACAATGACTAAAGTATATCTTCTAACACATTATTGAAGAAAGTGAATAGGGTCTCCCACGTGCAGTTCTGGGTATGGTTGGGAAACAACATTTGAGATCTGAATTTAGAGTCGAAGACTAGCTTGGACTGTGGGTTCACGGAAGGCCATTGTGGGTAATGTTTGCACTTGTATGTATTAACATTTCTCAAATATTCTTTGTATAATCCTAATGACAGTGACATCAGAAAAAGAATTGTTTAGATCATAAATTTGGGTTCTACTTATTTTTTAAGAATTTGGACCCATCAAGAGGTCCTAATTTCCACATGCTTATTGTATTTCTCTGCACTAAAGGATATAAGGGTTTTTGAGTAAAATAAAAAACAAGAGTTTTACAGCCTGCCCCAAACTTTGATGGAGGAGTCATCACATCATTAACTGAGCAGCTTTTCTGAATCTCTTCCAAACTCAGTACAACCCCAGAATTTCTTCTGATTAGCAGATTTTACAGTTCTATTGAAGAGTCAATAAAAATCCTACTGCAGAATGGCAATGCCCTCCAAACACTGCCATCTGTATTCCTTCCATCTCTCCGAAAAGCTGATTGCTGAAGAGGTTTATTCTTGACATGAGATTGGATCTTTTTTGTTTTCTGCTGTAACTAGAAACCCCATGGAAAAATGGGTTAAGTGAATTTGTGTCTGTTATATGAATTGTCTATGAGCGCCAGATTGGCTGGCCATCTGCCTTCAAGGTGAGACGTATAAAGATAATGACATGAAATTGTGTACTTAATTTGAAAATCAAATGGAAGAAGAATGCGCATGTAAGGGTATGCAGATATCAGATTATAAGCAAGATTTTAGATCACAGAAAAGATCTAGATATTTATTGAAAACATTTATTATGCCTTTATAGTGCACCATATTTTTGCAACTTGCCTTCTCCTGTAAGCAAATCGTGATTGGAGAGCTGGTTTGCTACTGCAGCAGAATTCCTGAGAGCAGCTTTGCATAGCTTCGGGTCAGATGAGAAGGGGAAGGTGGTATTAATGGGAAGGGTTGGCAATCTGGAAGTGAGCCCACAGGCATGTTCCATGTAGTTTTCTAGCTTGTGTGCCACCAAGAACTATAGAAAGAAGTTTAACTATGTTCACATCCATTCTTAGTCTTCATGAGACAGTAAAATTTCTTTTTTTCAGGACAGCGATGGTGACAAAAGCGATGACAACTTAGTTGTGGATGTGTCCAATGAGGTAATCATTGTTTTTGTCAAAAAGTGTATCTTCAGAATAACTGGCATAGTTCTAATGTGAGAAAAGCCCAATAGCAAATGTATGAAGTAGAACCACAGTGTCTTTTGCATTTGTATTCGTTAAGAACCTAATGGTTGTATGTGGATGGAGCAATAATAGTCTTAACTGACATAAATTATTATTCCCTTTATTAAAAAAAAAAAAAAAAAAAGTCTGGGCTGAGGGTATAGCTCTAGCACTGGCCCAGCATTTGCAAGACCCTGGGTTTGATACCCAGCACCATTAAAAAAAAAAAAAAAAAAAAAAAAACAGAAAAGAAAAAAAAGAAAAGAAATTTGTTGCCCTGGTTATTTTGGATTTCTAAGTTGGGTGTCTGGCTCCTCTTTCCAGTGACTTCTAGGGAAAGTACTTGGACACAAGGAGGAATTTGATAATTTTCTTTATGATAACTTTCATGGGTGTTCAGCAGACACCTTCTCATTCATTTATTATAACATCACTAGGCATGTCATGCCCTCCCCACTCCAATCAAAAGGACTTCCAGTATTCTCTTATAATTAGAGAATTAGTGTGGAAAAGTTTGTCTGCTATAAGCTAAAACATGAAAACTTTTGATTCTACTTGTTGAGGACCCTTCTACTCCACGAGCAAGTCCTGCCCATTCACCTCGGGAAAATGGAATCGACAAAAATCGCCTGCTGAAGAAAGATGCTTCTAGTAGCCCAGCTTCCACTGCCTCCTCGGGAAGTTCTGCTTCTTTGAAATCCAAAGAAATGAGCTTGGTATGTAAAGAAAATTGGTAGCCTATTTGGCAGTGCATTTTTCTTTGTGGACTAGAGGACACTAAAAAAATTTGAAAGTCAGGGTTTTGCTGTTTGAGGGTTATATCTGTTGTTGTTTTGGTACCAGGGATTGAACTCAGGGGCTCTCAAACACTGAGCCACATCCCCAGCTCTTTTTATTTTTTATTTTGAGACAGGGTCTCACTCACTTGCTTAGGGTCATGCTAAGTTGCTGAGGCTGACCTCCAACTTGTGATCCTCCTTTCTCAGCCTCCTGAGCCCGGCTGAGCATTATATTTTCAAGTATTAAAAAGCGAAACTCCTTTTCTTGTTTTTACTGAGTCAGTGTGTTTACTTTTTCTTCTGTAGTAGTCTCTTATGAATCGTGGTTAGAGACACAAATCTGTGAAATTTACCAGTTGGCACATAGTTCAGACCTCTTAGATCTTAGGAAGTCTTGACTTTGTTAAGCTGTGCACTTACTGGGGACACTGTCCCATCATGTTGGGGCTTGCTGGGAGCATGCCCGATATTAGAGAGCTCATTAGAACAGTGATGTACACAAGGAGGCCTAGAAAAAACTGGTGGTGTTGGGGTGCATCAAAGCCCATCTGTGTGGTAGTGTATTCTTTCAACAAATGTTGTAAAGCTTGTCATCTCTTCATTCATAAGGGTCCCTTACCACCCTATTTAAGCCTTACACAGTCCTCCAGTTGTTACCCCATGTCACCTACGTACGGGGAGGAAAGCTGATGAATTTGCTGCACCACACAGCCTACCAGGTGCAAGACAGAGTGCTGGGGTCCCTTGCTGGCCCATGATCTTTGCCATGGGGGTCCTGAAAAGTTGAGAGGCAGAAGACACTGTCCTGCCACCCTGTTGTTGTTTTGCCTCCTGTAGTGCTGATAGCAGGCTGGTGTTAAGTCTCCCCTGCCTGTACTGGTGGGTCCACATGCGTTATGTAAGTAGGTGGGTGGCAAAACCTACCCCCAAAGGTATTCTTCTTAGTAAAGCTTGTTCTGGGGCTTTTGCCTCTGAAATGCTAGTTTGCTTCTCACGTAACTGATGGTCTCGCTGTCTTTCGTCATTAGTCTCAATTCTGCGGCTACCCAAAGGCAGGATTAGAGAAAGGAGCGTCCCTTAGATGTTCCTGTGGCTGGTGCCCACATTTCCAAGGGACTGGGAGTTATTCTCTGGGTGGTCATCATTTTGACTTGGCAAAGAGCCTGAGTCCACAAGCCCGATGGAAAATTCTTTTCAAAATAAAATCTGCGGAGGAAGAAGTGTGATCATGTTCTCTGTCTCTAGCTCGAGTTTTAATTCTGGCAGGAAGAGGAAAGGTCAACATTTCTCGCTCACAAGTTAATGCTGTCAACATTGTGTGGATTTATGAAAATTGGCTGAGGGAGTAGCTAGAAGGTGCCCAGTGTCCCAGCTGCTGTTGTGATAAATTGTGTAATATGGCTTGGATTAAAAATAATACTCATTTAATTTGTTTAATGATACCAGCATGAAAAAGCCAGCACGCCCGTTCTGAAATCCAGCACGCCGACTCCTCGGAGCGACATGCCAACGCCGGGCACCAGCGCCACTCCAGGACTCCGTCCAGGCCTGGGCAAGCCTCCAGCCATGGAGCCCCTCGTCAACCAAGCGGGTAGAGCATCGCCTCTTATTATGCTGCGTTGTGTTCCTCCCTCTCCCAGCTCAGTAAATTGTCTGTTAATCTAGTGATGTGATTTCCCCATGCATATGAAATGCCCTTGCCACCACCCTCCTTCCTGTCTCTGAAAAAGGCACGGTAAGAAGCAGATGTTTGTCCTTGGGTCTCAGCAGCTGCACCCTGTTTGGTCTCCAACTGTTTACATTCAGCTTTTCTTTTATTTCCAAATAATCTAAATCCTAGGGACTTCAGTCAAGTTTCCGATAATTATTCTGTACATAAGCTTCTGACCAAACTATCATTGTGTGTCTGACTTCGCTAATATTGACCGAAACGTCCAGGTTTGAGGCTAGAGCGTGCTTCTTGCTGACTGTGGTTGGCTGGTTTTCTGTTAGCACACCCCCCAAGAATCCGTAGAAATCAGGAGGGTTCCACTCAGTCTCCAGCCCATGAGTAAACTCATAACTTTCCTCTCTGGGCAAGGAAAAAAGTAACAACCTGAGTCCAACGGAAAGTAAGCACCAGAATATTCCTCCTAAATCCATGCTTTGGTTTACGTGAATCTAGGATTTGGTTTTCATTTGGAATTGGTACCAGGGAATGGAAAATTCGGACTGAAGGAGAAATCTTGGATTTTATCAAGAAAATCTTCTTTTGAGATTAAGTCAGGTAAACACTTAGTGTCTGTGCCTTGGTTTGCTCTCTGAATTGGGTACGATGATGCTGATTAATTCCCCTGGTGTCCCAGCACTGCCACATATACCAATGAGAAAATCTGTGGGTTTTGCTTCTGGGGTCCTTCCTGTCCTGGAGATTAAATTAGCTCTGGGGAGGATTGGATCCAGTGTATAAATTAGAGGTAATCTCCCTGCTGCCCGGGAAGCCTCTTTTCCTCCCTCCCCATGACAAATGACACTAACAGATGACTCTGGAATTGCTGGTCAGGCTTGACTGGAGTGGGCAGTCGAGTGACATGCGGCTTGTGTTTCCTTTCAGCCGCCGGTTTGAGGACGCCCCTGGCAGTGCCTGGCCCGTACCCTGCTCCCTTTGGGATGGTCCCCCACGCCGGCATGAACGGCGAGCTGACCAGCCCCAGCGCCGCTTACGCCAGTTTACACAGCATGTCACCCCAGATGAGCGCTGCCGCTGCGGCCGCCGTGGTGGCCTACGGGCGCTCCCCAATGGTAGGCCACTGCTGGTGGGCTTTGCTTGGGTGGGAAAAGCCACATGCTTCACTGAGTGCTGTCAGCCCCGGGGGCACACAGGCCTCCCCAGGCTATGGGGGCAGGAGCAGCCGGCCCCACACACCTCCAACACAAAGACGCCAGTGTTCCCACTGCACCCTTGCCCTCCTCTTGTCAGCCTTCATCAACATGCTGGTTCATTAAGTGAGGCCCAAACGCTTTTTGTTTTACTGTTTTTGTCCATGAAAAAAGGCAGTGTTTAGAAGCTCCTTCAGTGGTCCTGGGGACATCTGGTTTTCTCCCACCAAAGTAGATTTTTTTATTTAAAGGCGATGAAATGACTCTAGTGGCTCACAGAAGCCTTTTCATTCATTTTCTTAAGTTTTTCTTTTCTTCGCTCTCTCTTTCTCTCTCTATTTAAACCTTAGGGGGAAAAAAAAAAACATTTGAGAAGTCATAGCATTCTCTTTCCATGTCTATATATTCTTTACACCCAATAGCGTGGCTCATATCTTACAAGTGATTTGTGTATAACAAGTAGAAAGACAGACCGTGAACCTGCGAGGCTGGGCTGTCGGTTTCTTCTTGCCCTACCTTCTGCTACTATGCAAATAGCCCCGTTTTGACTGAGAAGAGATAAACAGCTGCATTTGAAGAGTGAAATTGACTGTTGTCACTGATTGCAACAGGAAAGGGTGTATAATATTAGGTATCAAACAGAAGCTCTGTTGCTATTTTAAAATACCGCCGTCACATACCTCTCTCTCCTTTCCCCTCTTGAAAATAACATAACACCCTATGATTGGGGGAGATGTTAAAGTCATTGTTTTTTCCTTCTGTTGTGCTTGTCGGAATCGATGTGCAGTGGAAGGCAAGAGTTCAAAGATGGGCAGCAAAGGGACTAGATGCTGCCGTTAAGGTAGACAGAAATAGGGAATCCATGCATGAACTTAGATAAGTGGTGCACAACTGAGGAGTTTTGCCCCCTGGAGACATTTTGATGATCACAACTGGGGAGACGCTGTTGCCACTTGAAAATAAAGGCCTCCCTGCAATGGCCAGGACACCTTTCAACAAGGAAAAGAATTATCTGGCCTGAAGCATCAGCAGTGTGAAGGTTATCAGCATTGCTCTCTCTGCACCTGATTAGGGAAAGATCAAGTCTATGGGAAGGATTTATCATCCGAAGCTGGTTCTCATTGCACAAGTAGATCGCACCCCTGTTCCACCTTCCAAAAGGCAGTGTGTCTTGTGGTGTCTAGAGGTGATTATGTTACTTAATTACATTAGACTTTTTCTTTAAAAAAAAAAAATGCTAGCCCTGATATTGTTCCCACTTATATTGCTCTGGGGATACACTAGTTTCTAATGGAAAGTCAGTGCTGAGAAAGTGCCTACCTTGCATAAATGAGTCTGCCATGCCTTATTTTTATTTGCAGGTTGGTTTTGATCCTCCTCCCCACATGAGAGTACCTACCATCCCTCCGAACCTGGCGGGAATCCCTGGGGGAAAACCGTAAGTATCTCTGTGCCTCGGTTTTGGTTTGCTTCACAGGCGGTTCCCCAGCCACAGTGTCAGCAGACTGGGATTCCAAAGGGAGTACAGGCCTGGGTGTTTCCAAGGAGACTTCTGGTGTCTTTGCCCAAGAAGTGTTAACACTTTCTATAAATAGGCAACTTGTAGGTGTCATGCCTCTGTCTTCTCCCTGTGGGTGAGCTCATACACTTAGTTATTTGAGGGCAAGGTGGGAGGATAGAGCTGGAGGTGGTTAGCCCTCCTTGCTTGACCTGTCTTCAGAAAGCTGCTCGGCTTTGCTGCTTGGTTGGAAGGTGGCTGCTGGATTTTCACTGGCGCTGTGAGTGGGTAGTAAGTTGTTACGAACTCTTAACCTCAGAGATTTGAAGTGTGTTATCTCTGTACCCAGCTCAGTGCCTCCTTTTCCTTATTTTGCTGGAACTAAGATATTTGAAGGGTAGGTCCTGTGGGAGGCCAACATCCCAGGTGAAACCCCAGTTACAGTTGCTTTTTGTGTTTTTTCCCCCAATTACAGTTCTGAGGAGTGATTTACTCTCAGACTTGGACTTACAAAAAGCAAAGCGGCTTTATGGGGAAGCAAGACAGAGGTTAAGTGGCACAAAAGCACTCAGAATTTGGAAAAACTTGGTTATTCTTTCTGGATCACTTTTTAAAAAATCACTTGCTTTCCATGATCTTAGTTATTCAAGGCCTGATTTGAAAGAATTTCTGAAATTCTCAAGTTTTATACAAAATGGAGTTGAAATAATGGAGGGGGGAATCAGTCTATAATTTCAGCAAATATGCTGCCTTTTCTTATGATAGAAATGGCAGATGACCTTGTGAAATGTTGTCTTTCCAAATATAAGAGGTACTGTGGTCGAGTCTCAGACCACAGGTTGGTCTTTGTCACCCCCGTGTCAACATGGCTGCTTTCTTCATTGTGTCACTTGCACGTCACAGCGGCACCATTCTCAACTGTCCATTCAGCCTTGTGTGATTTTGTTTGGAGCCTTGATACAAAGAAACCACCAACCTGAGGAAAAATAAAATCTCTTGGCCTCTCACCTGCTTTTTAGGGAAGCAGATTCCCCTTGTTCTGCTTTTACTGTGTTGTTCTGACAATTTGACTGAGATTTGATTCATGAGGAAACAAGGCTTTGTCTACACTAGAAATTAGTACAGAGGATGAGAATTTAAGATGGCCTGGAGGTCCCGCCAGGGCAGGGTGGGTGGGAGGGGGGCAGTGTTGCTGAGTGCTCCCTTAGGTGGTCCATGTCTTCCGGGACAACACCCATCAACAGCCATGATGTGTGTTTTCCTGGGAATGCTCACTGCTTCCAGCCTGGGAGGTCCTTGGGGGCAATTGTGGGTGCTTTTCCCCTATGATTTACAACATTGTAGCTGTTGGTATCCAAATGGATTGGTCAGTGGATGAAGGGCAGACTGGTAATGCCATCTTAAGAAGCCATGATAATGTTAACTGGTGAGTCTTTGGGAGGGGATTAGTAGGCAAAAAAGGCCAACATTGGCTAAGCCTTAGAGAAAGCCAGCTTCATGAGTTAGGGGAGTATGGGGGATTTTCCAGCTGCCAAGACCCTATCTTAAAAGTGATATGAGGGGGTTGGGGTTGTGGCTCAGTGGCAGAGTGCTTGCCTCGAATATGTGAGGCATCACCACATTAAAAAATAAACAAAATAAAGTTATTGTGTTCATCTACAACTAAAAATATTTTTTTAAAAAATGAAGAAGAAAGTGATGAGGGCAGTTGGGGCTGGAAAGCAGAACTGTTGAGTTTCAGTGCTGGTTAGAAGGCTGGCATTCAGGGTATGCTCAATTTGGACTCTGTTCCTTATAGAGGTGTGGGGTGAGGGAAGGGAGATTTGATGCAAAAGAAAGTGATATGCCAGTTAGAGCCAAGTGGTTCGTCCTTGGCTGTGTGCACCTTACCTTTCTCAAAGCTGTGTGAACGAGGATTACAGGGTGCCTGTAGACATGAACAAGGACACAGTGGCAAAGTGGTGAGACTCATATATAAAGGTGCTTTTCTTGTCTTGGTCAAAATGACCTTTGGTCTCTGTATCTGTGCCTCCTGTTGTCTCTCAAACAGTCAATGTATTTTTTAAGATTCTCTTGATATTTGAGGTGAGCCATACTATGTGAGGAAGACGGAATTAATTAATAACAGAGGGTTAAGTGAATTTCCCCATTGCCAGGATCTGGGCTATACAGTCTTATTGCCAATATTAATCCATTAACTAGTATGGGAGGACTTGCTGTTTTTAATCATCTAGTAAAGTAATATTGCCTCACAGTATTTCCCAAACCATTTATAGTGACAGCCTGGTATTTTCCCAGCATATCAAAGATTGATAGGTTTGAAACATATAATAAGAATAAACAGGGGGGAAAGCCACGAAATCCAAGTTTTGTCAACAGTCATAAATGCCTGGCAAGTTGCTGTGTGAAGGTCTCTAGATGTTTGCCCTCCATGACTGTGCTCATCCATTACAGGCCGTGGCTAATGTTTGCAGACAAATGTATGGTCTACTTCGAGAAATGGGGACAAACCAATATGCCCAGGGTGGGGTGTATGAACAAGGTGTTAAAGGTTATGTAAATAATTCTCTGGGAAATGCCAGTTCATCAGATGTTTGGGTAGGGCAACTGGAAGACATGATGGCTGTTCTTGGACTCTGTTTATGACCTGAGGGTCAGGCGTGGTGCATACCCTGGGCATGCTCTTCTGGCTTTGGGGCTTGATGATGTAGTCACTAAAAGAGCAGCAAATACTGTAGTTAAACTTATGACTAGTGCTGTAGAGGCAGAACAGTAGGTGATAGACAAACATGTCAAGAAGTGACCAAAGTTAAGATGGGGACGCCTTCCTTGGGGTCAGGCACATTCGTGAAGCTGAAGCCTGTGAAGGAAAGAATGGGTCTGGGAGGCGGAGGGCAGGGGCTGCATGCCATGCAGGGAGAGAGCTTGAAGGATTCATGTGCAGATGGACGAGTGCCTCCTAAGAGTGTTACAGCTGACAGTTCAGTTGAGGCTGGAGGGACCTTCAAGTCTCGTCATTATGAATATGCATCTGTGGTTCAAGTCTGCTATGATGGCATTACCAAGTGACAGCGTGCCTCTGACCCGCGTGCCTCTGTGCATGCCCAGGGACAGGGATCCACTGCTGTCCAAAGCAGTGTACTTTCTGTGGCTCTGTGAAAACTCTTCTCACCCTTGAGCAGAATGGGTCTCCCTGGAACACTGACCCATCTGTGTTTGCCTTTCTAACCCTCAGACCTTATATGGACTGCTAATCTGTCCTCTGCTTTTAGGGAATTGAACCTAGGAGTGTTCTACCACTTAGCCACACCTCCAGTTTTGAGCCTGGCCTTGAACTTTGAATCCTGCTGCCTGAGTTGCTGTAGGCATGCACACTGCACCCAGCTTCCATCCTCCTTTCTTTGTTCAGATATTTGGAGACCTCTGTTTCACCATGAGGCTTCTCTTCTGGCTGATTTTGCCCATTGCTTCAGCCCTGTCCTGCAGGATGTGATTTCAAGTTCCTGCATCATCTGCTCACTGAATTCTAGACCATCACCTCCCTCCCATTCATGCTTCTACAGATTTTATTTAGACCTACTCACAGGCAGAAGGGACTCTGGTAGGAGCTCACAGTCTGGGAATGGTGTCTAGGGGAAGAAATATTTGTCATCTGCCTTCTTAGAGTTTCTAATGGGTATAGGAATGAAAATCACATAAGGCAGGTTAACGGGGAAAAGCACACAAATTTTACTAAAATTTTACATGTATATGGGAATCCATACAAGAAAAGAAAGAGGTCAAGAGGGAACCAAAGCAGGCAGCTCAGATACCTTTTATATAAAGGAGTGATGAATTTGTGAAGTAATGACAAGAGAAAGGGGTTTGGACTGGAGGTAGTCAATTAGGGGACAGTAACTGAGACAGAAACTGGAAAAACTAAGGCAAGGTGAGAGTTATGTTGATAGGTTTGTTTGTACACGTCCATTTCAGTGCCGATTCCCTGACTGGCAATAAGGGACAAAAAGACGTATCATGAGAAGTTTTAGGACCTGTTTTTTAATTGTTTTGCTACTGGGAGTTAAACCCAGGGGTGCTTTACTACTGAGCTACATCCTTAGCCCTTTTTGTTTGTTTGTTTTAGTTTTTGATGGACCTTTATTTTATTTTTTTGTATGTGGTACTGAGAATTGAACCTTATGTCTCATGCATACTAGGCAGGCACTCTACCACTGAGCCACAACCCCAGCCCCACCTTTTTATTTTTTGAGACAGGGTATTACCAAGTTGCTGAGGATGACCTTGTACTTGCAATACTTCTGTCTCAGCCTCTGAAATAGCTGGTGCACAGATGTCCACCACTATGCCTGGGAGGGACCCATTTTTATGCAGAAAGGGAGGTTAGAAGGTCTTTCCTGTATCTCCCTTTGCTCTCTTGCCTTCAGCTCAAAGTACCATGTCAAAGTGGCATATTTGGGAGTGGCATATTCAGGGGGATGGCATTAATCAAATAATCTCAAAAACTAATATAGAACCGTAGTGTATGTAAGAATTATGGCAGAGGGGCACTGTTGTATGGAAGTGTAAGGTAGTGGGTAGAGGGGCTGATCCCACTGAAGAGGAACTCTCTGCAGAATTGTGTCCAGAGCTCCATGCACCTAGTAGGGGCAGGAAGTGAACCTCTGCAGGGAGGCACCAGCTGATGCAAAGGCCCTTTAGCCTCACCCTGTTCCATACTGGCTTCTGGTGTAGAAATGACCTGAGATCTCAGTAGAGCTTCCCAACCACCCTGGTTTCCATCCCTCATACTCACACCAATGTTTCCCAACTGCTCTTTATTAAGGCATTGTCCCCTTCTCTCTGACACTCAGGCCCAAGCTTCAGCCTTAGATCCTTACTTAATTCATTTATTTTTTACCCAGTCTTATCCTTTGTTAGGACCCCATATTTTCTCATAACCA